CATTAACAATGGCATATTAGCGGGAAAAAAGATACTAGGAAGGGAATCCTAATGTTTATAGAATGGCTGTGGGCTGGAATGGGGTGGCATCAGGAAGAGGTAAGCCCTTCCCCAACACTTAGGAACAGTCACACGACCCTCCAATCACCTTCATCCTCAGAGCCAGAAATGCAAACCTGAGGTCTTCTCTATACTTGCACCTACCCTGAATTGACCGCACCTCTTTGTTGTCTCTTAATTTTTCTACTAAGACTAATTTGTTTGATCTTCCCAGCTCCTGTTTCAGGGCAAAGGGAGAGAGAAGGATGAGGATGAGGAGGAAGAGCTGCAGCCAAGCCCTTTGAGGGCAGGAGATGAAAGTGACAGCAGTTGTCCCTCCAAATCCACATTTCTTCTCAGTGCATCCTAACTTCAAGCACAGCTCCTTGGTGCCTTTCAGTCTGATGGGTAGTGCGGATGTCAGTTGCTTGTTTATTTGGGGAAAAGGTTAAAGCTGTGATTGTGGCTGGGTCACACACATAAATCTGCGGTTTTGTTTGAAGATAGGGTAATAAAAGTTTTTTCCACACATTCTTATTCTGTAGTTATCAGGGAGAGGGAGAAGAGGGAGAGCTAAAAGACAGACAGAACATACCTGTCAGAAAGATGTTTCTGAGTCTCATTCATATCACTCCTCTGAGCAGAAGGAGTATTTTTGACACTAGAATTGCAGTCAAAAGTCCCTGTTCTTTGAAATCTTTGCCTTCATCTGGTCTTCCTTGTGGTTTCCATAGTGACAACAACTGTGCACTATCCATTGCTCTACATGTATGCCTGCTCTCGGGCTGTGGGGTGTGTGTGTGTGTGTGTGTGTGTGTGTGTGTGTGTGTGTGTGAACTTAGCAAGCCAAAATAGTAATACAGGCAGTTCTAAAGATGCTCTGTTCTAAAGATGTAAAAGGTGATGGGTTCAGTCAATGTACTGGTTAGTTTTGTTGTTGTTGCAGTTGTTTTGTTTTATGGGTGTTTTTCATTTTGTTTTTTGTCAACTTGATACAAGCTGGAAGAGGGACTCTTGGAAGAGGGAATCCCAATTGAGAAAATGACTCCAACAAATTGGTCTGCAGATATGTCTGTTGGCATTTTCTTGGTTTATGTGAACAGGCCAAGCCAACTGTGGGTGATGCCACCACTGGGCAGATGGTTCTGAGTTGTATAAGAAAGCAGGCTGAGCAAGTCACAGAGAGCAAACTAACAAGCAGCATTTCTCTGCTTTAGTCTTTGAATTCCTGCCTTGACTATCCTTCATGATGGACTGTGATTAGGACATATAATCCAAATAAACCTTTCTTCCCCCAAATTTCTTTCGGTTATGGTCTTTATCACAGAAAACTATAACAGGCAGTAACCTAATGGTTCTGAAGAGAAAGAATCAAACATAATAACGCACACTCACACACGCACACATTCATACACAAACTCACTCATGCACACACTCACATGCACACATACTTACACATGTACACATATACATGTACTGTGAAAGAGTGTCTCAACTTGCAGTTAGAAACCAAAATGTGCATATGAGTTGGTGCTTGAAGTTGGTGCACATATATCTGGGGACTTTTTGATACCCAAGGATCTTTGTCTCTGTGGCGTGTATGTGTGTGTGTGTGTGTGTGTGTGCATGTGCATGTGCGTGTGCGTGTGTGTGTGTGTGTGTGTGAACTTTAACATATCTGCTTCCTATTCTACATGGGAGAGCAAGTCCAAGACTTTTTACCAGAAGGGAAATGTCCAGGATAGTTTTTCTTCTGGGGTCTCTTTTTCTGCTGGCTCAGGTTAGTGGAGATGGGAAATGTCACACAGCCTTTTCCAGAGCTGTCCTGATCTCGCTTCAAAGCACCAAATATTCTGATAATACTAATAAATAAGGACATGATCTACTTCCTCTGCACCACTCTACAGAAGAAGTAACTAGAGGGCTAGGCCTGGTGACACACACCTGTAGTCCCAGCACTTGGGAGATTAGAGCAGGAGGATTATGAGTTGGAGGCAAGCCTGGTTTATATAATGAAGGAGAATTAGAATTGCTACCAAACGATGACCAAACAAGAATTGTGCTAAAAGAGGCCATAACTGATGCTGTACAGTATGTCTTAAATGTAAATATATTCCCTACCCAAATTACAAATGTCTCTAGGGCAATAGTATAAATAATTGCACTTGCTTTCCAACTTACAAGAGAGATGTCAAGAGTAATGAGTTTTCAAAAGTTCTAAAAATACTGTCTGAAAATAGTACAAGAATATTTGGGGTTCATTTAGGAAGTGCTTCCATGTAGCTTCAGTGAGCATTTCTGTCACCTTAGTGACTTGCAAAATGCACTCTCTTAGGTAGGGTTTCTGTTGTTGTGGGAAGACACCATGGCCATGGTAACTCTTGTAAAAGGAAAACAGTTGAGGCTGGCTTACAGGTGCAGAGGCTTCATCCATTGCTCTCATGGCAGGAGGTATGGCCGCACTCAGGGAGACATGGTTCTAGAGAAGGGGCTGAGAGTTCTACATCTGGATTGGTAGGCAGCAGGCAGAAAGAGTGACCCACCAGGCCTGGCTTGAACTTCTGAAACCTCAAAGCCTACCCCCAGTGACACATGTCCTCCAACAATGCCACACTTCCTAATCCTTTCAAATAATGCCACTCCCTATGAGCCATTTTCATTCAAACCCCAATAAGCACTCAATGGAGAGATCAAAGAGAAGCATACGGTCCATATGAACATGACTGCAGCCATGAGAGAATTCCTTATTCAAATATGTCTGCCGATCTGACCATTATGATGTCACATTCTGTTTGCATCAAGGTAAGGAGGGATGAAAAAAATAAACAAAACTCCAACCGACCAAAGGGTTATCAGTCTACGCCTAGTACCAGTGCCTCTCAGACTCCACTTCAGTGGTGTGCTGTTTGTGGCTGCATCTGAACATAATGTTGTCCCCATCCACTTCCTTTTCCTTTGTTCCTAATCTATTTTCTGAAGACGGGCTAGATGCACCACATGAAGAGGTTGTTTGCATTTGCAGGCCAGGCCACAGTGGTTGATGTCAAGCATTTCCTTTGCACGGGCCAGTAGTGCTGGATTTGAGTCATGTATTCAATGTGGGAAGTGAGGGAGGTGGAGGAGGCCATAACATATTTCACTCTCCTTTGAAGTTAGAATTGGAGTGGGGCAAGGTGATATATATATATATACAAATATATATATACATACATATATATCATCTCAATATGTCTGTCACAAGATAGCTTCTCTTTTAGCTCCTGTGAAAATATGTCTGTTTTCTTAGTTATTTATTGTTCTCAATTCATATTTTAAGCAGCTGTTGTCTTTCTAAAATAGGAAGCATCAATGTTTAAATTATGCTTTGGTTGTATTTGTAGTAGGCTGGCTGTTTGAAATTAATCCAGAATGTTACTGGGACATCTAAATTTTTAGTCTAACTTAGTATTTCCTGAAATGTCTGCCAAAACTGGCAGAGGAGGCTTGGCCATTTTAAGCGAAGGTGTGTTGGGGGTGGAGGAAGACTTATGTTTTCCTTCCTGCTCAAGATTAGGGCATGTGAAGAGTCATGCTTATTCTGGACTGTACTCATCAGAATTGGACAGCCCAGACAGATGGTGGCCTTGGTGGAAGGTGGCTTCAGGGGCCACCAACCAACTGACTCAGGGCTCTTCTGTGCAGGTCTTCAGGGATCTCTCCCATGTTTAAACAGCTGGCTTCAAGGTTGGAAACAGCTCAAAGTGCTTGAGAGTCATGATTTCTTCCCTGCTCAGTGGTCCCCCCTGGATGCTGGCCCCTTTTCTGAGTATGGAAGCCATCTTTTTCCTGTGCTTCCTACACTGGTTCACTTTACTGATTTCACTTGTGTCATACATCTGTACACCTACTCTTGTAAACTCGGAGTTGGGTGGTCAAGGACACTGACTGTAGTCCCACCACCTAGATTAACACTTGACTTTTTTTTTCCTCTGCTAACTACATAGTCACAGTGTTAATGTCTGGAGACTCTTCCTAACCATCTATAGAATGTGGGCCATCCTGGTACTTCCTTGCAGAACTGCTGTGCAGGTTGAATGAGAACATGTGCAGTATTTAGAAAGCATTCCAGTCCCAGGGAAAGCACAGAGTAAAGTTTAGCATCGCTACCATCATCGTCTCCATCTCTGTCATCATCTCTTCTTCCTCCCTCTTCTCCTTCCTCTCCATCACCCTTATTCTTATTATCTGCAGTATAAGAATCAGCCCCACGTTCTTGTGCATGCTTATGTCTGTCATTGAGCTACAGCTTGGCTCAGATGTGTTAGCTAGGTGGCCATTCCGATAAAGAAAATGTTTTTACTTTAAGGAAGGGCAGAACACCTGTAATCACATCCAGTCACATATCAGGGCATGTTCGTTTTTAGTGACTCAAGTTGCCAGAGCATTTAGGATCTGAGAGCAATGTGAATCTTACAAGCTGATTTCTCTCACGTGTCTGTTTTGTGACGAAGTCTCCATCTGTAGCCCAGAGGGGCCTCAAACTCTTGCCCTCCTCCTGTCTCAGTCTCCCAAGAGCTGGGATTATAGGCATGGGAGATGATTTATTGAGAGGGGTGTGTGGGGGGTGTCTGGTGCTGGCAAACAAACAAACAAACAAACCCAGGCCAAGTTTTGTTGTCTGTTTAGACACTCTGTTATACATGAGCTTCACAATCCCAGAATTCCTCCTTGCAGGCTCACTTAGAGAATAGTCAAGGAGGATTTTCTCACACATGGCTTACTCAGATTTGGTATTGAAGAGAAAGCCAAACCATTCCTATTTTTGGCTTTATGCTTAGACAAAGGAACAAACAGCTTATTTCAAGAAACTAACAGAGACATTAAACATTCTCCCTCTCTGTCTCTGTCTCTCTGTCTCCCTCCTTCCCTCCCTCCTCCTCTCTGCAAAGAAAGGAAGCCATTTAACAAAGAAGCAGCCCAGGATGCCCTCTGCTTCACTCTGTTTAGGTTAAAACTCTCTCCTGTCACTCTTCATTCTAGACAGTACTGTATCATTTCTTCTTTATCACTGGGGATCTCTAAGAAACAGCAGGTAGCAGCAGGAAGCCGCGATATCTTCCCCTTCACTTTTCTGCCCTTGACTGGGGCCCACATGAGACTGTGGCTGAGGACACAGCAGTGCAGCCGGCGGAGTGTGGGTCCGTGTGTGGGTGGGTGTAGGGTGCTGGCTGGCTGAACTGAAGCAGACTATTGGCTGAAGAGGAAAGTGCTGGCCCAAAGTGATGATTCCCTTCCCACAGTCAAGCTCGGCCACACCACAGCTTCCTCAGAGGCCCTCTCCTCATACCCTTTTTATTCTTGGTTTTCAGTGCTAGGGGCTGAACCCCGAGCTTCTCACAGCCCGGGGAAGATGCTCTCCCAGTTTAGGATTTGTCGAGAATGCAGCACATCTTTTCAGCTCCACCTTGTCTCGCCTGGCCTTGATGGCAGTGTTTAGATCTCTTACTGAATCAGAATTCAGATCACATACTGAGTACTGCTCTTGCCTTTAATTTTTCCCCCAGTCTCTTGAGGGGGCATTTCTGAATCTTCTCCCACGTGTTGGCTTCGTCTCTCTTCTGTGGTTGCAGAAAGCCTTGCAAACTCTTCCCACGCTGAGGCTCCTGAGTTAAGGCTTGCAGACTGGCCCCAAGAGGGATGTGGGGCTTTGGTCAAAGCAGACACACTCTTTCCCCTAGAAGGAAACAAAGAACAGCAATGAAAACAGCCACAAATGCAGCATCATGAAGAATCGACTCCATCTACGGGTTTTTACTGTCAAACAGCATCCCAAAACTTGGGTCAAGCACTGAAATCAGACTGAAAACTTTCCTGCTTTGAGTGATCATATATAAGAATTCATAAAGGAAAAAATATTCTGTTCAAGCCCTGAGGCTATAAGCCTCAAAGTCCTCTCATTCTACTGCCTGATTTACCTAATATCCATTTAGTTTCCTGGAAAAATCTAAGTGTTAGAAACTCATACAGCATCTTATTAAAGGGAAGCTTTTGCGATCAGACTAATTTAGGTTTAATTATTTCCTTAGCTACTTCTGCAACACAAGTGAGCTCTAGAACAAGCATCACTTGGGGCCAATGTTAAGCAAAAAGGGTATGTACCAAATACATTGTACAGTGGGCAGCGCTGTGTATGCCGCCATAGTGTGTACCTATGATATCCTAGTCACAGCAAGCAGGACTGTGGCACTCACACTTGTGAACTAATAGGAGGGGCATGGCTGGCTCATGCTTTAGGGAGAGTATCATCCTGTCTGGTATCTGTCTTGAACAAAGCAATGTCTAGAGCTTGTAGGATCATGGTATTAACACAGTTACTTGGCTAAGGAGGACTACCTCTTCTTTGGTGTCCATCTGACACAGAGGACTGTCTGTATGTGCACAAAACAGATACCCTGACCTATTACGTTACCTAATAAATTGATCAACAGAAAATATCATCCCTCTCCTTGCACACACTGTACCTGATAGATTTCAAAGGAAGCTGGGACAAACGGCTAACTGAGGTGCCTATTTAACATAGCAAAGTTGATGCTGGTCACTGGTGTCTCTCAGCATTGCCAAAACTGGTTCCAGTGGTGGCTTCTCTCAGCCCTTCTCACCCTCCCCCTACCGTTAGCCTCCCCCCATTCCCTTCCCTGCCCCCAGCTTCTCTGACTCCTATATGGCCTCAGCCATTTTGTCTACAGGGTCTCTTGGTCTTCTCTCTTCTATCCTCTCTCACTCCCCATCCACATCATGGCCTGGTTCATTCTGGATCCTCCCAGATGCCTCTGGCTGTTTTCACCCTCTTATCTACAATAAACCTTCTCCACAAACCACACATTGGAGCAGCCATGTCCTCCTTTTTTAAATTTCAAAACTCAGTGACCTTTGACCATATATTAAACCCAGGTGCCTGTGAATGATATTTGACTTGTTCTCTGTCGCATGTTTAATCAGTCTTTTGAAAATTTTCTCTCACAGTGTCATCTGCTTGCCCTGACTGACCCAAATATCCTCCAATCTGGTTTACTCTAACTCAATTTTTTAAAGTATTTATTTCATGTCTACCTTTGTGCCAGGTGCTAAGGAGAAAAGCGGAGAATGCAGTACTGGATGGATGTGATCCTGGAAATCCAGGGGACATCTGTCATACAGGTGCTGTTCTCAGGAGGAAGGTCTGCCTGGGAAGACATGAGCTGGGATCCAGGGCAAGTGCACTCAGGGAAGGGGAAGCATGCTGGTCCCTGGGCTGCAAAAGGGAGAGGGACAGAGTCACAATTTAAGATGGACATTAAGAGAAGAACCAAGGAGACTGAAACAGCAGACTGTGGTGGAGAAAGAGAAATGGAAATCAGCAGTGGTCAAGATCCAGGGAGATCCAGGGAGAGAGGAGTCAGGTCACTTTGAGGTCATGGTGGTCGCTATGGCAATGCTTCTGTGGTTGCTCTGGGTGCAGAAGTGGGTCCTAGAGGGAAGACAACTGTATTTGCCACTTTTCTGTTAGTGTGACAAAGTACTGTGACAAAAAGCAACTTAAGGAAGAGTTCATTTTGGCTTACCGTTCCAGAGTTAGTCTTCCATGGTAAGGAAGGCATCGTGTGGCAGCGGCCCAGGAAGTTGACTGATCGTATTTTCATCACACACAGGAAGTAGAGAAGAGAACAGGAAGTAGGGCTAGCCAATAGACCCTCACAGCTCACCCCCAGTAGTGTACTTCCTCTAGCAAGGCTCCAAGCCCTAAAGGTCCCATAACGTCCCCAAACAACTGGGGACCAAGTGCTCAGTATATTAGCCTATGTAGAACATTTCTCAACCAAGTCACTGCAATAAATGAGTAGGGGCTGAAGACCCAGCAAGGCTAGCAGAGGGCGATTCATCTGTGGAGAAAGGGGAAGAGAGAAGAATATAAACGACCATATGATAACCAGCTGTCGAGAGCACAAGGTGACCTGTGGAGGCTCTGGAGCCAGGCAGGTCTCTGCTGCTTGTTGTGTGAAATTTTGGATGAGTTACTTTACCTTGAGCATCCCAACCCCTTCATTTGTAAAGTGGGAACACTACCAGCATCTTCTTGTAGCATAAGTGCCATGTTTAGGACATGCATCACTCCGTTTCCAAGGGCCGTGGAAACATAGTGCGAGACTTGATCCTTCCTCATGGACTTTGCACTTGGTGCAGGGACTGTGGATCAAAACACACACACACACACACACACACACACACACACAGAGAGAGAGAGAGAGAGAGAGACAGAGACAGAGACAGAGACAGACAGAGGAAGAAGAAGAAGAAGAAGAAGAAGAAGAAGAAGAAGAAGAAGAAGAAGAAGAAGAAGAAGAAGAAGAAGAAGAAGAAAAGCTCTCATTGACTTGTGAGCACACATCACACAAAGAGAAGTGAATGTGAAACAGGGTGAGCTTGGCTAACACCTGCCAGACATTTGATAAGATCCTGCACTCATACATAGACTTTTGAGGTACAAGTCTGTGTTCCATTACTTTTACTTCTTGAAAAATATTGTGACCTAGGTCATGACTGCGGACAAAAGTCAATTATTATCTTCAGTTGGAGGAAACACGATGGTGTATTTATGATGTGTTTTTGGCTTAGCTTCCTATTTCCCAAGCAATTTGCTGGGCTTCACTAACACCTTCATTCTTCCTTATGGCCCTTGTATATCTGGCATGTCATCGTGGCCTCCTGGACAATTGCTTTAACTGCAATGTGACTTAACTAAATTGGACCATTTGCCCATGTCAGCAGATCAGTAAGAAATGGCCTGGAGTAATTCATCATCCATTTACTGTAAGGGTGCTGTTGGAAATGGCCTTCATTATATGGCATCATGCTCTGTTTATGAAGATCCTTATGAGGCTGTCTTCATAGTGTTAATTTATATGAAGAATATTGCACTTTACCTGGCCAAATGGCTTTATTTTATAATATAGGCACCGCATTCTCGCTGGGTCCTTGAAATGATTGCTGGAGAGCTTAGAATAAATTCAGAGCTCAGCCTAAGCAGGCACATGCATTTCAGGTAGCTGGATAATTCCGGGCCCTATTAAACTCCCATTCCCTATTGCTTTTCTTATGCATCTGTAACTCATGCTCTTCTAATATATAACATGTTTTTCCAAGCCACCTTCAATTCTTTTTTTAAAATGTGGTGTGTGTGTGTGTGTGTGTGTGTGTGTGTGTGTGTGTGTATATGAATTGTGTGTACGTGTGCTGTAGTACACAGGCCTGTCCTCACCTGCCATCTTGTTTGAGGAAGGGTCTCCTTGTTGTTAGCTACTCAACACTTCAGACTTGCTGGCCCAAGATCTTCTGGGAGTCTCTCTCCTCCACTTCTGACGACTCACCTCACGACACTGGTATCACTGCTACATGTTACCATGCCAACTTTTATGTGGATTCTGAGGATTCAAACTCAGGTTGTCACACTTGCATAAAAGTTGTGAGAAGACATCTCCCTGGCCCCTTAATACATTTCTATGTAGATTGGCAGCATAGGAAAATGAGACCTGGAATCACAGGGTCTCCTTTCCGGATCGACCTTGCATCTTATCGATGGTACAACCACGAGTATGTGTGATGGTTTGGAACTGGAGAGTCCCTCTAAGCCCCATGTATTGAGAGCTTGACTCCCAGGCCTCTATGGTGTTGGTGGGTGGCATGATCTCCAAAAGGTAGGACTTAGAGGAAGAAAATTACATCATCAAGGGCCTGACCTTGAAGGGGATATTGAGACTCTAGTGTTTTCCTCTCTTTCTTTGATTCTTGGATGCCATGGATTTCCTCTGCCATGACTGCTGAGCTGTGGCGTGCTACCTTGCCACACAGCCAAAGGCAACAGAGCCAAGCATCCATGAGTCAAAATCCATTTTTCTTTCTTATAACTTGACTTGTCTAGGTTATTTGTTACAGCAATGGAAAGCTGGCTAACATCTTAACTAATAGTACTGAGCCTCTATTTTCTCATTTGCAAAGTGGGTATGATAAGTGTTGGCTCATAGAATTTTATAAGGATTATAAGGATTAAAAGTGGTCTGGCACTTAGAAAGCACGGGACAGATGCCACCATCAAAACCAATATCATTTTAAGTTCATAGTAGGAAATTATAATAGAAAACACATATGTGTGGGAAAACTGATTTTAATTCTTAGAAAATTAATATAGTCAACGGGTGTGGTGATATACACCTGTGTTTTCAACACTCAGAGAGCACAGGCAAGAAAACATGAGGCCAGCCTGATTTATACAGATAATTCAAGGCCAACCTGGATACACAGTAAGAACTTGTCTCAAAAACCAAAGCAAAAAATAAAAACCAAAGTAAATCAAAGCAAGATAAACAAATAAAAAACTGGGACAATGAAACCAATAGCTATTCCTTGCAGGTTTATTTGAAATTCAAATGCCTTAATATTCATGACAAGGAGCCAATTTCAGAAAATACATTTTCAGATGTGAGGAGCTCTCATCAGGAAAAGCTGATCTTGAAATCGGCACCAGGAATAGATGGCTGAGCAGACACATGGTGCTTTCTCATCTGCGTCTCTGTTACTGCACATAGAAACTCGTGTTCTGCCCTAAGTCTGCTTATTTACATAGCAGCTCTAGGGTGCTAGCGAGCCGTGGAAGATCATTTTGTATTGCAATTTAAATTAAAAAGTGCATAGAAACTTTCAGAAAGAAATTTTCCAGGCAACAAAAAGTAGTTCTTATCTACATGAAAAACAACAACAACAATGAAAACAGAGGCCCTGTTAGACCTAATTCCACAAGAACACAGGCAAGTGTCTAGCACACCGTTTCATTTTTAATGACACAGATTTAATTCCATGTGACAATCTGGCATCAAAGTCTTTGGTCTTTCTCCCACATATCCCAGTAAATATGAAAATACAATCTAATATTAAAAGATTCAATTTGTGAGACTCCACTCACAGGGCACAGGGGCCGTTATAAAAGCAGCAAATGAACAAAATGGATTAGGGAACACACGGGTGATTTTGGTGTGGCACAAATACAGCTACCACATAACTGATGAGAATCCAATGAGCATCAGGAAATGTCACACTGTATACACAGCCTATTGTTTACTGTAACATTCAGATCTACCAATGCTAACAAAAAGGTGAAATAGTCCTTCAGGGTATTACAGTAATTTATGCTTTGTATCAGGCCAAAAAGGGAAACTGTTTTGTGTTAGTAATGGAATTTTATTTTCTTTAATACTGCCTAATAAACCCTTTGGAATGTTCCTTTATTTAAAATGGTTCAAGTTAGCATATAATGGCTATAATGCTCTTAATAACATAACTAAATATTTAAATCTCTTTTTTCGTGTATAAGAAAAGAATGGCAAATGTTGATTTATAACACAAAATTTAACTTTTAATTTATTTCATTTGCATTCATAATGTATCCATTTTTTTTATCGTGCAGCTTTTTAGCTCTAATTGTGCTTTAAAAATAGAATAAATATTTATGTACTTTAATAGCAGCTATTAAAGAGTCTCCATTTATATCTTATTTGTTGATATAGAATTCTACATTGTAATAAAAAGAAATGCTATGGATTTGAGGTCCAATACTGTATTCTCCTTTCTTTCCTTCAGTCATTCTGCTCTATAAGTTTAAAAAAGAATAAGAAGACGCTCAGGGAGTCTTTTGTCAGATATCTGAAGTAGTTAGTCTAACACTGGGATAACTTGGGAACTTACAGACATGCTACTACTCAGTGATGAGCAGTTGTGGAGACACTGATGTCCTCCAGTTGGCCAGCTCCATGGCTATCATGTCATCTTGTCTCATGTTTCTTGAATATCCCAAGAGGTGAGGACTTCCTTTCTATCAAAACAGCATCATCAGCTCTCTCAAATGGACTTAGAAGACTAGAGTCAAGGTTGGTACAGCACTGTATGTTTTGAATGGTTTTTGTTTTTGCTTTAATAATCATTTTTTAAAATTTAGGTTAGAAACAATCTTGTTTCACATATCAATCCCAGCTCCTTCTCCCTCCCCTCCTCCCCCCGCCTTCCCCATCAGGTCCCCCAGTCCCCGACCCAATCTCCACTAGGATCCCCAGGGAGGGTGAGGCCCTCCATGAGGATCTTCAGTGACAGTCATTTCATCCAGGGCAGGGCCTAGGCCCTCCCCCAAGAGTTCCGGCTGAGAGTGCCTCCCATATTGTGGTATGGGCACTCAAAGTTTATTTGTATGCCAGGGATAAATACTACCCAAGGCCCATAGATTACCTAGGCCTCCTCACTGACACCCACATTCGGGGTTCTAGGTCAGTCCCATGCTTTCCACACAGCCATCAATCTGGGGTCCAAGAGCTGCCCCTTGTTCAGGTCAACTGTTTCAATGGGTTAAACCAGCCCAGTCTTAACTCCTTTGCCCATCAGTTCTCTCCTTCTGACACTGGATTCCAGGAATTCAGTTCAGTGTTTGTCTGTGGGTATCTACCTCTGCTTTCATCAGTCGCTGGATGAAGGTTCTGTTTCCTAGACTCTCTGGCAGTGGGATTGTAGGCTGGCACTCCTCTGATTCATGTCTAAAATCCATAAAAGAGTGAGTACATATCACGTTTCTCTTTTTGT